TCTAAGTTGATACACATGAATGAAATAAAATAGGAATGAAATGAAAAGGTCCTTTACATTTTATTATTTGGTTGTAAATATAAAATAATGTATGGATAATAATGACCATTTTAATTGGTGAGGGCAAAAAGCGTCGACAGTGGAAGCGATGGAAGGCGGCGGCAGTGACAACAAAAGGTGGTGGGGGAAACTGGGGTGGTAACCAAGTAGACCTACTATATTGGCAACGGGGGCAATTGCCCTGAAATTTTTTTTTAGTATTATGTAGTAGTAATTTTTTTCTTTTTCAATTATATACCTATGAAATTTTAATATTGCCTCTTGAAATTACAAAAATAAATAAAAAATCTTTTATTGTCCCCCATACAATTTCCTGTCCATCCCTAGTGACGCGGTGGTGGAATGCAGTGGAGTAATAGTAAAAGGCAATAGTAGCGGTGGAAGGTCGTATAATTATGGAAGGCAACGACGGAAGGTAAGCCATGAGGCGATGATTTTCGGATTTGGAGCACGATGGATTTTTAAAAATTTAATATATATCTTTTTTTGTAAGTTTTACTGGGGAATGAAATAATAATTTCATAAGCTTTAAATGTAAATTTTGATACATATCTTTTTTTTGTAAGTTTTTACTTGGGGAATGAAATAACAATTTCATAACCTTAAATGTGAAATAAATTTTTTTCTAAAAAATCATCATTCATTTACTTTTCATTCAATTTTTCCCATCAAATTAGGCTTAAAAATAAAAAAGTCAAATTACTTTCCCATCTTTTCATTAAATACAAAGGGACCAATATATCTTGGACACGTGTTGAAACTTGACTAGAAGTGCTGCTAGTCCACATCTGATTCATAAAATATCTAAGAAGTGGGCCACAGTAGTTGATTATTTAGTATTTATGAGCAATACCCTATTGTTCACTCCGTGTATCACTGTTATGCTGGTGTACTTTGGGTATTGGAATTATAGTCACGCAAGGGCAATTGTGGTATTTTGGACATTATCCAGATCACTGTAGTGATATGTGGGTGATATTCATCATTGGGAATGATTTATTCCACAATTTAACCTCACCAGCGATAATACGACATATCCATGATACTCTCTCTGTATACAGCCACATGTCAATCTAGTGGTAGTTTGGTAATTCATAAGACAAGTTTGATTGGCATATGCGACAGATTTTTACAAGACCAAGTGATATTAGCGTCTCCTAGCCTCTGTCTTTACAAATAACATTTACACGTGGATTTATTTTATTTTATTTATTATTTTTAGTAAGGGAAAGTGCAAAAAAATACCCTATAATATGTTTATAGTGTATATCCCTTTTTAAAATTATCAAATTATTCTTTCTAATTTAAATATATATAGTTACGAAATTTGAAATTTTTAAAAAAAATAAAGAATAATGATGGAAATATAAAAAAAAAAAAAAAAATGTGTTCTTTGACTTTTTAAGAGAGAACAACTAATTTGGGACATATAAAAAGAAAAAAATTGAATACTAATAATAAGAGATGGAGGGAGTACATCCTTTACACATACTCACACATTTTATGACTAAAATGCCCTTAGCTACATATTTAATAATATATATAAAAAATTAATATTTTGTGAAATGACTAAAATGGGTACACCGCGCCTAGTTCGCCGGAGGGAGAGAAGATGACAACCCAATTCAGCCTACTGTAATCAAGAACCCATATTCCTGAAAGGCAACCTCTTTAATGAGCTCGAATCGCCTAGTCCATTGAAAAGCACCGAATCCGACAAGAACCTCTTTGCGCTCAATCTCTCCGGCTTGCTCGCCGCCAACGCGGGTCACCTCCGCTACCTCCTCCACCTTCTCCGGTCCACCCGCTGCCCAAACATCATCGCCGAGTTGCTCCTTGTTCGTTGGCACTGTTAGCACCAGGGCCAACCTCTGTCCTCATTCGTCTTCTTCCTCAAATCGCAGACCCATGCCCTTACCCAAGTCGATCTCCATTTTGCGATGGCGGCGCTGAAATTTCTGGAAGCCTAATGCGGTGCTGGAGTAAGTTCACCGAGGAACATTTAGTATGAGTATTAAAACTAATTGATCATTTGAATTGCTTTATTCAGATTCTCAATGCTTTTGACTTTGAGCATCATGCTGGTTACAAGACCAAACATCCAAATGATCACATATACTTTTTTAATGGAAAGACCATCTATGCTGTTGTCCAAGAGCTAAGGGCCACACCTAAAGATATGTTGTTTGAAGCAATTCGGAATGTGACTGGATCTCCTATCCATGAGAATAATTTTCGCATTTGGAAAGGTGAATTTTTTTTTTTTTTTTTTTCAATTGATTTGAAGTAACCTCTTTAAAACAAGCCTGAGAAATCAGTACTGTGACCATTTTCTAAATGCATATAGGATAAAAGCATATTTCTCTATTTTGTTCTCACACAGATTTTTCATCTTTTGCTTTTCTCAGAATCGTATCAAGCTGCAACCCTTGAACTTCAGCATATCTATGGAAAGGAAAAAGTGACCAAGCCAACTGAATAAGAGAATTTTGACTCTTTTAAACCTGCAAGGTTGTTTAACTAATACCTGAAAGTCGCGTCGCTGCCTTATATCATTATATTAAAATTATGGATTCAGTTTGAAATTTCAGATAGTTTGGCAGAGGAATGTTTAGTATACACTTTTAAGCATTTGCTAAGATGTTAATTTTATTCTGGTTTTGGACCAAAGTTTCAGCGCCGCCATCGCAAAATAGTCAGTGTGTTCAGCACGGCTTCAAGCTTCCGTTCTTGCTCCACCACTTATTATTCCCGCATCAGGCCGGAAATTTCAGTTCTCGCCGTGAGCCCACCGTCATAGTGGAACTTCATCGTCTCAACTCATGGACATTTCTTTCTCGCCGGTTCAGCACCTCACTAGAATCCCGACCCTCGCTGTCCGCCGCCTTAGATCCTCATTGCTGCCATCATCTTCGTCCTCGCCGCACAGGTCTGCCAGACTCATAGCCGAGCACAAAGCTCGCTGCACCTCTCACCGGTTCCTTGCTTGGCCGCCTTGCCAACTCGATGAACTATACTCTGTTCTCATCGGTCTCTGTCGGCAGCTCATTTGGAGAAAGAAAAAGGATTGGAAGAGAAAAGAGAAAATGAGAGTAGGGGCATTTTTGGAAGCATAAAAGGGTAAAATAGGTATTATATTAATTGAGGTATGTTTTGCACAAATTAAAAAGAATAAGGGTGTTTTTTATATACCTTTTTAAATAAAGAATAAAAGTATTATGAAATGAATATTTTAAAAGTGTTTCTTGCACTTACCCTTTTCGTTTCTTTTCGTTTCATGTTCGACTCCGAAATAAAAGATTCCATGATTTTTTTCATTCAAATTAGTAAATTAAAATTTAATTTTTCAATTAATATATCAACCTATTATATTTTATTACATAAATAACAATGCATCTATTTCAATATGTTAAAACAAAAAAAATCAATCCATTGCCTTTTGATTAATGGATAATGTCATGCCATTTGTACTTTTGGCATATTTAAAATTTTATTCATTCAACAAATAAAAATAATAATAATATTATAATATTATTATTATTATTACTACTGTATGACCAACTTAATTTGATGATAAGATATGGAATTGTGACATAACAGAACCTTTATGTAGTTTTGTTCGATGAATAGTTGAATACTTGGTAATTGGAAATTAACAGTCAATTTGTAAATTCGTCAAATCTGGTACAATGCCAACATTTCTCGATAGAGTTTTTTGGCTTATTTTTTTTTATTATTTTAAAGGCATTTTTAAGTAGAGCTTACTACAAGAAGTAGACATATATAACACGATTTGAATAGGACAGCACGACAAATCTCAATAGTATAACCCACAGATACATCAAAAATAAATATATAATATATTATTATATAAAAAATTAATTATATTTACTCAATTTATCATAAAATCATGAATGATATCATTATTATTTTGGAAGATGGTCTTTGACCATGTGAGGTTTGTGATTTTAATCTAAACACAAATATAGATTTATGAAACCGTTCCGTCAAATGCAAAACAACACACCAGACCCAAATTTTATGAAATTTGAACCAACAACCTCATAACTACATCACTAAGTTATAACCAATGTCATTTCATCAACGTATATCTTATGTTATTTTATAAAAATATTGAATTGTAATCTCTCTCCCAAAAAGAGAGATTAGGTGTTCGAAATGGTGCAATTGCTCACTCTTGGATTATTTGTTACTTGACAATTCACTCCAATCAAATTAATATTTAATTTATATATATATATATATATATATATAATGTACGGAGAAATAGTTTTTCGTTCCCAACAACTACGTGCAGCTCAGAGACCTACCTGTGACTACCCTTTATAAATTTTTTTTTTTTGACGTGGCTGCTTATGAATGGTTATTTGTTTTACTATAATAAGTTTGTGTTATTTTATTAAGGACCGTTATCATAACATACCGCATTGACCAAGCTCCCTTACCTACTTATATTAAATCTAATACCATATAGGGCTGTTGATTTGTCTTTAATGTGCCATGTACAGTCGCGTTTGCAGAAATTCATTCGCACTTTTAATTTTTAATTTAAATAATAAATATATTATAGGACCAAAACAAGGGTTTTAAAAGACCAAGTATAACATAGTAAATTATGGGGATGGTCTTAAAAGTCCCACATCGTATTATAGAAAGAAAAGCGTGATGGATTAGAGTGTGTTTTAAAAAGTCTTGCTTTAGATGGTGTGAGCGGTCACACACAGAAAAAACTCTACATCTCTAAAATTTACACCAAACCGTGGCATTCCCGTAAATAAACAGAAATCAAATGGTGGTTGTTGTCATCAACAAAACAAAGGGTCGATACGGTGGACGGTGAGACGATGGTGATGATGATGGTCATACATGGTGATGTATGATGATACATAACATGGAGAGAGAAGCGGATTTGACTTCATTTCAGAGAAGAAAGGTGAAGAAGGGAATTAAGAAAATTCAATCCGATCGAATTCAGTTTTGACGTCCGCTAGGAAGGACACAAACACACTCTCTCTCTCTATACTTTCTCTCTCTATGATACAGCCAGGAACAGAAAAGCCTCTCTCTCTCTCTCTCTCTCTCTCTCCTCTTTTCCTCTCTAGTGAGACTCATGAGATTGATAGATTGAAGAGGACTTTGAACGTAGATTAATACAGGAAAATATAACTTGTATAGGCATGTGTTTGATGCTAACGAACCAGAACAAGTTGAAGAAGAAGAGTATATAGCTGATTTGTCTTCGATTTTCACAGTTAACAGTGTGTTGTACTTCCGCAATATTCAGAGTTTCCAGTCTCTCACTGGAATTTGTACTCTGGTAAGTCATCTCTCCTATTCCTCTCAAGTGTATTTGTTTTCAGCTTCGACTTTGAAGCCCTAGATATTTTCACTCATTTCAGCTCTAGATCGTCAATTATGCATCATGTTGTATGGTTTAGGGTTCGATCGAGTGCTTTTGTTTCATTTTTTGATTATAAATTATCATTCCATTTCATAAATTTTGCTTTTTGTTTCAATTTTTTTTTGAGTATATTATTATTACATTTCATAAATTTTCGCTTTTTTGCATATATTTATTTGTTGCTTGGGATTTAAACATTTTGAGCTTTTAGAAGTGTGTGAAAAGGTCAATTTTTAATCAGTCTGTTCAAATTACTTTTAAGGACGGTTATGCATCGTTCTGTTGGGGCATTGAAAGATTCAGAAGCTGCCTTTGACTGTCAAGATTGATTTTTTTTTTTTTTTGGTTTTTTTTTGTAGAATGATTCAAAGTCAAGTTGATCTAAAATTGACGAATTATACAGAGATTCATGAGAAAACTGGCCGAAGATTGTTATTTTCGCAGAGCTAAGTCAATTCTAGGATGTTCAGAACAAAAACTTGTTCCTTGTTTTTGGTTTCCTTTGGTAACCGGTTTGTGTTTGGTAAGACTCAACACCATATGCTCAGACACAAAGATTTTCCATTTCTGGTGGTGCGCAATAAGGACTTTGGAATGTCTACCCATGGCTGCGAGTGTAAAATGCTTGCTGGATTGATTAATTCGGGTGTTGCACTGGTTGTGTAATTATAGTGTACTTGAATCTTGAGCGTTGGCTTCATGTCATTTTAGTTAGTTTGTACTTGAATAAGCGTTTGTAGATTATAGTTTCAGAAAGATGGTACCATCCGGGCCTCCGAACCCAGTTGGTGGTGCCCAGCCTGTTCTGCCTTCACTACTGCGATCAAATTCTGGTTTATTGGGTGGTCAAGGAGGTCCAGTGCCTTCACAGACCACGTTCCCATCTCTTATGTCACCACGTACACAGTTTAATAATGTGAATATGCTTGGGAATGTGCCCAATGTTTCATCACTCCTCCATCAACCTTATGGGAATGGGGGTCCAAATTCTGGACTTTCTGGTCCTGGGAGTACTCAGCGGGGAATTATGGATTCTGGGGCTGAGTCCGATCCTCTCTCTAGTGTTGGGAATGGAATGGGCTTTACTACCCCTTCTTCATCATTCCTACCGTCGAATATGGCAAACCCTGTTTCATCAGGTCAAGTTCACGGGCAACAATTCTCGAATCCTTCTAGTAACCACATGTTGCAAGATCAACAACAGTCCCAACAACATGACCATCCAAACTTCCAGCACAATCAGCAGCCATCACAACAGTTTCCTAACAACAGTCATCAGCAGCAATATCAATCGATTCGGGGTGGATTAGGTGGTGTCGGACCTGTCAAGTTGGAACCACAGGTGACAAATGATCACCATGGTCAGTCAATGCAGCAGTTGCAGTCTTTGAGAAATCTTGGTACTGTGAAACTGGAACCTCAACAAATCCAGGCTATGAGGAGCCTGGGGCCGGTCAAAATGGAACCCCAACATTCAGATCAGTCACTGTTTCTGCATCAGCAGCAGCAGCAGCAGCAACAACAACAGCAGCAGCAGCAGCAGCAGCAGCAGCTTCTCCACATGTCCAGACAGTCCCCTCAGGCAGCTGCAGCGCAGATTAATATGTTGAATCATCAGAGACTCTTGCAGCAGCAGCAACAGCAACTCTTGAAGGCTATTTCTCAACAACGGTCACCGCTACAATCTCAATATCAACCACAGAATGTGCCTTTGAGGTCTCCTGTAAAACCGGTATATGAACCTGGGATGTGTGCCCGGCGGCTGACACATTATATGTATCAGCAACAACACAGGCCTGAGGTAAGATTTCTTTCCTGAAAAGAACGTCTCACCAAAACAGATAATTATGGGATTGTTGTCTTAATGCCTAATTTTTCATCCAGGACAACAATATTGAGTTTTGGAGAAAATTCGTTACCGAGTACTTTGCTCCCAATGCCAAGAAGAAGTGGTGTGTTTCTATGTATGGAAGTGGCCGCCAAACTACTGGAGTTTTCCCTCAGGTCTGCTCTGGAGAAAAACTGGTGAAATTATGCCCTGCTAGGATTTCAAATTCAGTTAACCTTTTTTTACTTTAAATAGTAGTAGTTGAGAAGGCTTTGTTGGGTTGAGTTTGTGACTTTGAATAGTACAAGAGGCCTATATTTTATGGATCTTACATATTATTTGTTTGCTACAATGTTGACTTGATATTAGTTTTTGAAGTTCCTAGTGTCATACATGTCTTTATAAACACTGTTTTGATAATTTTCTGGACTTATTTTTTCTTGCCTATCAATGTTGAACACTTATGTAAATTTTATATTCCTTATTTGCAATTATACAGGATGTGTGGCACTGTGAAATATGCAACCGCAAACCAGGCCGTGGCTTTGGTATGTTTTGGTTGCTGGATTTGCAAAAATGTTGTCATTTATTGTAATCTAAAATTGTTTTGGCCTGTGCTTAAGTGTTGCTGGCTGCTTGTTTGGATTCTATAGCAGCATCTGAAATCTGTTGAAATATTTTTTCAGAGGCAACTGTTGAGGTTCTGCCCAGGCTTTTCAAAATCAAGTATGAAAGTGGTACTTTGGAGGAACTTCTTTATGTTGATATGCCCCGGGAATATCAGAATTCATCTGGTCAAATAGTCCTTGATTATGCCAAAGCTATTCAGGAAAGTGTTTTTGAGCAACTTCGTGTTGTCCGTGATGGTCAACTGCGGATAGTCTTCTCCCCAGACCTAAAGGTTACAACTGGATAAAATTGTATTGTTTCCAAGAACTTTAACCTTTTAGAGGCAGTCTTTACTTACTTGTTTCTGTTCCTTCTCTAATTCCTTTGCCAGATATGCTCTTGGGAATTTTGTGCTCGGCGTCATGAAGAGCTTATCCCTCGAAGATTGTTGGTACCCCAGGTTATTAATTTAAATTCAGTTATATAACAAGAGATACTTCTATATTATTGCTGACTTCACAAGTACATATTTAATGGAAGGATGGAAAGTTCATTTGATCAGACATAGAAGCAATTAGTATGTTTGTCAACATACTTCTTTGTTACGACCAACAATTTAAATATATATATTTTAAATTCATATTGAGTATCTGCTAGATGTGGTTTTTTTAGATAAAATTTTCCTTGTACTAATCTTTCTGTGCATGTCAAACTCTAGGTGTTCTTTTTTTCCGCCATCTTGCTATAAATAAATGAATGTCTTGGTTGAAGAAGTCGATGAAAATCTTGTCTATTTGGAGCTTCTTCCTTGCCCTATCTGATACTGTTAAAGTTTGAAGGAGATATTACTTAGTTATACACAATTTAAGGAGAATGATTTTAGAGCTAATGACACGGATACTTTTTCCTGCGTAATTGACTCACCCCTTCCTCCTTGTTACCCTTTAAGATTGGGAACTTGGCCAGCTGAAAGCCAAAAAAAAAAAATTCTGTAACTTCGAAATGCATTTTTTGGTTTTCTTGTTCTTATTTTATGTTCTCTCTTTTCTAATTTCTAAATATATACAGATAGAAGTGAGTTGCATAAGTTAGATGTGTTGGTGTGTTTGACCCATTGGCTTTAATGGGGTCCATCTGATAATAGATTCGGTTTTATTAGTTTTTTGCCAGATTGTAGCAAAGATACATGCATACAGCCTGCTGATCTGAGTCATATACTTTTTCTTTTTTCTTTTTGGGCTGCTACATTTTCATGGGTTATCCTGGGCCTCACTTGGTGTTTAATTTGTAACTGTAGAAGTGCTGTTCTTGAGTGATTGAAGTTTTATGCTTCTGCCGGATGTTATTATGTAGCATATGACAAAATTATGTGTTATTGCCAGTTGTGTAACTTATTTTCTACTGTTGTTGGGTTTACGCTGCAGGTTAGTCAACTTGGGGCTGCTGCTCAAAAGTACCAGGCTGCCACTCAGAATGCATCATCCAGTTTATCTGTTCCAGAGTTACAAAGTAACTGTAATATGTGAGTCCTCTCTTTCCATGAAATATGAAAAATTTTAAACTGTGTATCCCTTTTCATTTTTGAGTTGGAGTTGGGCAGTTGAGTTCCTTCAGATTCTCTTCTGATTGTTATAAATTCTCAATAAGAAAAGTTCTTTACCTAATCTTCCCCGTGTGTGTGTGTGTGTATTTATTTCTGTCTATCCGTGCATGTACCATGAAATATAATTTTCTGGTCTTCACTCGAGTATCAATTTTAGTTTCTGTACTCCGATGACGTACATTCATTATTGTTGATTTTTGATGTATAAACTTGACAACTTCTCCATTCCCTTGATCACTGTTCCACTGCAACAAGAGTATTTGTTTTTCACATTATTAGTGCATGCAACTATTTCGTCACATTCAAAGAGTTTGATTATACAGTCAACTGTTAATCTTGCATCCAATTAAAATTCACTATTATGTCATTTGAAATTTGCCGAGCATGTTCCATGAAATAGAAATGTTGCGTCTATGTTAACTTCTCACTTATGCAAATGGTTAATTTTTAATTTTTTAATTTTTTTATCTCAATTAGTTTGATCCGGTGAGGTGGCCATAAAGAATTGTGTAGTAACAAATTAATAATGTTGTCAATTCTGAAAATAATCCTCCTTCCTCTTTCTTGTGGGTATCACATCGTCTCATACATCCTTTCGTCCATCTTCTTCCAGTTTAGAGAAAGCATCTACAGGGCTTGATTTGATCACTAATTCTAAATTTGTAATTTGACAGATTTTTTTTTCGTCATACGTTGCTTCATCCAATATGCTGAATTGATGCAAAATTCAAATTATTATGACGGTTGTTGACGAAAATATAGAAACTTAAAGAGTGCATTTGGATAGAGGGAATTGGAAGGGGAAAAAAGGAGGGAAATGTTATCTTATACTTAATTTAATTAAGGAGGAGGCAAGGTAAAGGAATCTAAGGGAGGTTGGCTCTTTTACTTGTCAAATTAAGTTTACATTACAGGTTTGTTAGCTTCAAAAGGATTACATGCATATATTGAAGGAAATTAAAGAAGTTCTTAGAAGTTATGAATTGTGATTGGCTATTCTCACATTAGCATCATCTAAAGATGGGATAACCTCAAATTTTGAAACCCCCATGGTTGCAAGGGTGTACTGTACCTTCGCATTAGCAATAAATATATGAACCAGTTGGAAAGTAGTTTTGGGAAGCCACCATTAAGAGAATCAATATCCTTAGTGATAAGAATTCAAAATTAAAATGTATACAACAATAGGTATTTGGGAGGGCCATGGCTGCTCTTCCTCTCTTATGTTCCACCCATGCCTGGTATTATTAGATGTCGGTTGTTGCATTACATTATTGTAGGGTGTGATTTACATTCTTACCTCATTTATCCTGTCTTATGAGTATTTCTTCTATATTAATGCTTGATTTTGCTTCAGGTTTGTTGCATCAGCTCGTCAGTTGGCAAAAGCGTTGGAAGTGCCATTAGTAAATGATTTAGGATATACAAAGAGATATGTACGGTGCCTTCAGGTAATGCACTTATCTGATCTGAAGTTTGGTCCTTCATATTGCAAGTTGAATGAAGTGGTTGTCTTTCTGAATTCTACGGTTGCACTTGCACAGTGAGAGGATTGCATAGTATACTTGAGGACATTGGTTTTTTTACACAGCAACTGTTATATTTATTTTATTTTGTTTCGCTTTTATTTTATAAATAGTTTGGAGATATTGTCATGGTGGACTCATGTTTAGCGAATAGCAATTCTGAACAGGATTTTGTTTTCCCCTTTCACAATTACTCGATCTCCCCGTCATATAATTGTTTTCTTGCCAATCTCCTCTGTTTTGGATGATTTGTGATCAAGTATGCATCTTCTTCATTATAGTGGCTGCCAAGCTGTAACATTTTCATAGTTGTTGTGAAGCTTCATATTATCCCTATACCTGCCTGATAAGAGCTAGCTTTCCTTTTCTTTTCTCTTCTTCTTTTTTATTTTTTTCACCAATGATAAGAGCTAGCTGGTTATCCCCAAAATTGTTGAGGCACAATACTGCGAATCCCAATTAGTTTTAGGCAGGGTACACTGATTAAGAAGGGAAAGAAAAAAAAATAGAATTAGAAGGATTTTTTTGAAAAATAAAAACACAATTTAGTGGGTCATTTTGTATAATTTAATAAATTATATGCATAAAATGTAAAAGAATTTTATTGGCCCCCCAAGGTCCCTGGTTGGGCATGTCTTCTTAGCAATAGACAATCACATATACTGCGGGTTTGGCCGCATGGTTCTTCCGTTCATTAAGCTGTGATGAATTCTTGCTTCTTTATTTTATTTTTATTTTATTTTATTTATTTTTTCCTGCCCTATTTAGATAGCTTTATTTACTACCTAGCATTAAATGTTAAAGAGCCGTTCTACCTGTGGATTTTTTCAGATTCTGCATGCTAATGATTGATGGTCCGAACCACTGTTTCCATTATGATCACAACAATTGATAAACATGCATAACTTTGATGTGGTGCTCGAGACAAATGGATAATTCTTTATGGAGTTAAATTATGATATGTTTTTTCATTTTTTATGAGAGTGTCTATGGGTTGGGTTCATACTGGTTGATCCTCCTCTGTCCCAACTGCCAATGTTAAATTCATTTCAGGCCTCTCCCTGGAATGGTGGGTCCTGGTGGTTATTAAGAAAAGAGTTAGAATTATGGAACTTGATTTAATATAGTGGCATCATTATGTAACCCACATCATTATCATACACAAAACATTTGAAGTTCCATCTGGAATAAAATTTTGAATGCACGCATCACATGTAAGCTATTGCTCTGATATGGGACAGTGGAAATTATATCTTTTACTTTCTGATGTGTAAAAGAGGTTGGTTGTAGGCCGAGTAGAATAAATAATGTTGTTGAAGTAATGCCAAAACTATGTGGTTTGACACATGATTAGATGTTTTGATCTCACATTGGAGCAAGGCGTAGTTTGATTAGTGTGTTGTTTTTTAAAGATTGCTCCATGAAATGGTTGCCGGTTATTGAGTTGGTTTTTCTGGTCAATGCTAATTGGCTGTTATGAGAGTTTCTTATGTGTTGTAATGAATCAAATGATCACCCTTGAATTGGATAGTAATTACTAAGAATAGTACATATCCTGACCTAGGCAGGACTGCGTAACTAGGTGCAGAACCCTGGCATGAACCTGATACAGATTGGCCCAATGAACTACTTCTCCAATTTTAGCCCAACTATGCTTACACCATTCTGTCTTTCTAGTGGTAGAGGCAAGAAACGGACCCATTGCCATCTTTGATTTATTTCATTTAAATATGTGCTTTGGTAATTATTCGTAACCACGATTCACTTATAAAGGAATATATATATTTGTGATTGCAATCCTTAATAAAATAATGAATATGGGCCTAATTAGGAGTGCTTGTATCTGCATTACCCTTTCCTAATTTTATAAACTTTTAAACAATCACAATGATGATTGATCTGATGTCCATATTTTAATATTTTCCTTGAACTTTCTCTGGGGTGAACTTGTATATGTTTTCTTGGTGTATTGCAGATATCAGAAGTGGTAAATAGTATGAAAGATTTGATTGATTACAGCCGAGAAACTGGGACTGGACCCATGGGTAAGCTTAAGATCTCTTTCAAAATGTCTTTTCTGCCTCTTCTTTCCATGACTCTAGTGTGCCAACCCTTTAATTAGTGGTGACCTTTCTAGTAATTTTATTTATTTTTACTTCTAAATTTTTACTAATGTTCGGCATGCTTAAAATAATAAAATTTGGTTTGAGAAAGTGCCTCCTATAGTTAAGGCCTTACATTGAGTAGCTTTGAAATAAGTCTAGCACTTTCGACATGGGTAAATGAGAAAGAACAAAGCTTTTAGAATTTTCCAAAGTGTGAATTTAAGAAAAAATCCCTTTGATAGTTCCATGAAGCACAATTGTGGTGGATGTGGGAGATATGGGAAAATTAAGTTGGGGGACCTTCTAAAAAATGTGAATCCACTAATTTTAATCATGCTTTTATGTTAAAAAGGTGTCATAACAAGGATATGAATGCGTCTGTATATGTTTGTCTATATATGCAGATATGCATATGTGCAGCGTATATAATTTAATGACATTGTCCTCACCTCTTCCCATGCCCTAACCATCATAAAACCTTTCAATATGTTTTATATTTTAACACGGTCAATTTTTTTTTAATCTATTCTAACATGGTCAATTTTTTAATTTTTATGTGAATCTTCAATTTGATTTTTCTTACAAATATTCTTACTTTTTATCTATGCTAAAAGAAAGTCTTATTTATGTTGGTGTCCTAAAACTGTCGGTCATCTATCTGAATAAAAAATTCTGTCTTAAATTACCTAACACCTATCCTGCCTAAAGTCATTGCTGAGACTCAATTGAGTCTCGGCCCGAGACGGCCATGATTCAGCCAGGACAAAAATCTTAGGTACTGTCTTGCTCGATGGCTCAAGACACTGCCTAGATATGTCTGACCCGATTATGATTTTTGGCCTGGGTCTAAAAATCCTAATTTTAGCTTCTCTTTCTCATTCTCCCCACCCTTTCAAATCTTAAGACCTAAATAGAGAGAACCAAATCCCCACCTTACCAAACAATAGAGTTACAATTCAAGAAAAAACATAGATTGTTTAGTTGATTTACATTTTTTGTGTTCTGAACACGAGTAATTGGTAGGTTTAGAAATATTTAGTAAACTAATAATATATGTATATAATAAATATAAAGATATAAAGATATTTCATATTTTGGATATAAAATATATATTTATTTTGCATAAAAAAGTTAATAATAAAGTGACTTTAAAAATCATGAAATTAACAAAATTCGTTGAGGATTATCAAATATATATATATATATATATAAATGGAGACGAGCAAATAAGCAAGACTATATAATCTTTAACTTCTATAATTTTCATGTTACAACTGCATGTATACTAATTTTCAACTTCTAAGTTATTAGTTTGTATGCTTTTGTGAATATGACATTTATTTACTTTGTTTTAAAATGCATTTGTGGCAATAAATTTAACGCAAAGTAGAAATTATTACATTGATACTTGGCTGCTTTCCTAGCTCTGTTTCATTTTTGCTTGTGTCCGTTCTGAAGCCTATTGTTTTATGCAAGCTGCATGCGTCCTTAAAAATGTAAAAGATAGCCCATCGTGGTTGTTGAATCCACAAGGTGGTTCAAATTTTCTTTCTTTGCAGAGAGCTTGGCCAAGTTTCCTCGGAGGACAAGTGCAACATCTGGGTTTCATGCTCAAGCTCAGCAATCTGAGGAACAGATGCAGCAGCAAACAGTGGGTCAGAACTCGAACAGTGAAAGCACTGTCCAGGCCACTGTGATGCAATTTGCTTCTAGCAATGGTGTGGCTAGTGTAAATAACTCTCTCAACTCAGCAACTACCACCTCCTCCACTAGCGCCATTGCTGGACTTCTCCACCAGAACTCAATGAATTGCAGGCAACAAAACCCTATGAACAATGCAAATAGTCCCTATGGAGGGAGTGGTGTTCAGATTCCTTCCCCGGGTTCCTCAAGTACGATACCACAGGCTCAACCTAACCCTTCTCCATTCCAATCACCAACTCCTTCATCTAACAATCCTCAAACTTCTCATGGTGGCCTAACGCCTGCTGCTCATACGAGTTCTGGTAATTCGCCTAATATCTCCATGCAACAGCCTGCTCTATCCGGGGATGCTGAGCTGAATGATTCCCAGAGTTCTGTTCAGAAAATCATACATGAAATGATGAGATCTTCACAACTTAATGGTGCAAATGGTATGGTAGGTGTTGGTTCATTGGGGAATGATGTGAAAAATATTAATGGAATGTTGCCTACAAGTAATGGCCTTAGTGGTGGCAACACCCTGGTGGGAAATGGGACAGCAAACAGTAATTCAGGTATTGTGGGTGCTGGATTTGGTGGCTTGGGTAGTGGGCTTGGCCAATCTGCCATGATTAACGGAATCCGAGCTGCAATGGGTAATAACTCCATGAATGGAAGAGTAGGAATGGCATCAATGACTCGAGACCAGAGTATGAATCAACAACAACAGGATTTGAACCCCCTGCTTAGTAGTCTTGGAGCAGTCAATATGTTCAATAATCTTCAATTTGATTGAAAATCATCTCCGCGAAGTGTTCTGATGATCTCTACTTGATGTTCTGGTCCTTGAACAATAGCTGCTTGTGTGCAGCAGCAGCAGCAGCTAGGGAAGTCACTAAATCGCTTTCGGCCACAGCAAAATTGCAGAGATGATGAAATAGTTTCCGGGCTTTCCCTCCCACTTTGTACTAATCTTGAGAAAAAAAGGAAACCTATAGCATAGTGTTCTATCAATTTATATCTTATATTATATCACCCTAAGTTGCTTCACTTTCTTCTTTCTTTGTTTTCGCTGATTTATGATTCAATACAGCTACTTTCTCTCCTTCCCTCCCCCACCCCACATCCGCTAGTGTATATAATTTATGTTCTGGTTGGAAGGAATTCGGTGTTTTAATTCAGATGTCCCCTACTTTTATTTCAGTGCTTTCCTGAAATTAAAAAAAAAAAAAAAAAAAAAAAAAAAAAAATGAAAGAAAAAAAGAATTTGACCAGTGCAATGTGAAAATTTTCGGGCTTCCCCTCCCACTTTGTATAGATTTTGAAAAGATAAAACATATAGCAGTGTTCTTTGCTACAGTTTATGATATTATGTCATCAAAATTTCAGGAGTATTAGGGTAATTTTTCCTGAGTTTGGGGATGCACAGTTGTTTGGTCAAGCCATTTGCCAAGCCATTTGCAAACTAGAGTCTATAGTTGCATATTAACCCTATTTGTGACCTTTAAGTCAAGGGTTCGAAATCAAAAACAACTTTTTAAAGTTGTGGACACTTACATTTTCATGTTATACAGTGACAGGAGTCTTGTACAATGGGCGTAACCTGAACGATATATATTGTTTTGTACAATGGGCGTAACCTGAACGACATATATTGTTTTGATGGATGACGAGGGAGGCATGGAGTTTAAGTTCTTTTTCAATACCTATGTTTTTCAATGTTCAGGTTTAAGTCATGTAGGCTTGTGAGGCTGATCAAGTGTGCGCTATGGAATAATAGATCATGCACATGAGATCAATTTAAAAAAATGGTTAGAAAGAGTCCCTTATAATAGGTTGAATGAATTCTATAAACAGTAAAGACCATATGCATATTCTCAACCTTCAACAATAAACAGAGAGGAGCTTGTATAATTACATAAATATCCCCAAGTGAACACAGCAGTTTTTCAGATCTCCAAATATTTCTCAATAGTAGCAGTAAGGGTGGACTTGGGCACTGCACCAATGACGCTCTCTTTCTTCTCTCCATTCTTGAAAAATAAGACCGTTGGGATGCTCCTGATTCCATACTGTGTTGCTATGCTGGGGCAGTCATCTGTGTTGAGCTTGTAACACAGAATTTTCCCCTTGTATTCTTTCGCCAATTCGTCCACCACCGGTGCAATCATCCGGCATGGTCCACACCATGGCGCCCAGAACTCCACTAGAACTGGGGTTTGGCTGCCAACTACCAGATTATTCCAGCTCGAATCCGTCACAACTTGAACTGCAATTTTCAGAAACCTTCACACATTAATTCAATGCCAGAGAATGAACTCAATGTGTATGTGTGTTTTTTTTTTTAAATTTATTTTGGGGTTCATTTTTTTGCTGGTTTTTGGATTATTGATTATATACTATATTGTGTATCAATTTCATGTGTACAGTCATGAGACTAATTGAATAAAGTGTAGTCTGTCACAATTGGTCATGGACAACCAACTGCATAAGACCTCACAACTAAATACTGCTAAAATCCCTTGTGCTTGTGTTGTACTTAGTGCATGTCTATCTTCCACACGGAAGTGGATCCCTTGTACACGTCCTATGCACCAAACGTTGTTTTGGTGCAGACACGAAGTCAAATGCGGGTCCTATTTTAGTGTTCCACCCTACTTTGAGCTTCGTGTTGTGCACTAAAACAACGTAATTTTGGTGCACAGAACTGAGAACCTCAAGCTTAGACAAAGAAGGGTTGCAGGCTTGTAGCTTGTGGGTAGGGTGCTACACAACGTGACATCTTATAAACATGGGTTTTACAAGTTTTCTCTATAAAAACTTCTCAATTTAGTTACTGATGAAGTAGAAGAAAACTACAACCAAAAACAGAATTGTTGTGTGTGTGTGTGTGTGACAAAGCTAAGAAAGGGTGTTGCTGACCTTCATCCACAGCTTCGCGGGCTTTGCAGACAACGCGAGATTTGTGATTGAATGAACGGTTAGAGGATGAGGAAGACAATGATATGGTGGAAGTTTTTAGTCCTTTAAATGTGGCCAAATTAAGCATTTCCTTGGAACAAAATGCATGGTGAGAATGGAGAATACTAGCTCTAGCACTGGTTACTGTGCTTACTTGAAAACAGTTCTCCAGAGCCATCTCTCTCTCTCTCTCTCTCACACACACACACACACACACTCTTTCTCTCTCTACTGTGTACAGTGGATGGAATTTTGAAATAGGTATGGGGAATGTGGCCTTAATTTGTTGAGGAAGAGTGCAAGATTCTCTCTGATTTTCTTCCTTAAAATTTCTGTTTTCCACAGCTTCTGTATTTTATCTAAAAGGATAAAAATTGTGAGGTGCTTAAGGTGCTCTATTTATGTGGATGATATTAATGGGCCGAACCAACCCATAGATGAAAAAAAAATCCAAATGTTCATTTAATGCCTTAGAGACCTCATTTAATGCCTTAGAGACCTCATACTAATTGTGAGGTGCTTAAGGTGCTCTATTTGTGGGTGTGTGTATGTGTGTTGTTGTAACCTTGTGCTGTTCAAAATTTGTGTTGATTTCGATGTTTGCAATTGGTTTAACCCACATATAGAACTCTTTCCCAACACGCACATATATATTATATAACTCTGGGCTAAGCCCAAAATGTAAATGTAGTCTAGGCCCAGAGCAAATATGTTGCCATATTCATCAATTTACCCAAATCCATGATAAAGAAGTTAGTGGTAGTTGGTGGATTAATTTGGCCAATGTGTGATCTCAATTCTCAAGCTGTTATGATTGTTGGTGTTCAATTTGAAGTGTGATTGTTGGTGTTCAATTTGAAGTGATCACAACTATGAGGGATGGTTTTGGAGTTGTTTCACATCAGTTCGAATGAAAAGTGAAATGTGTATATATGGATCGAATGTTAACGCCACCTAATAACTTAAACTTTTAAATTGGATCGCAAAACCGTTATACGGTGACTATAGTTCTTTTCCTTTTCTAATCCTTTTATTGCATTTCTACAAATTTCTAGGTTCCCAGTTGTTACGTGTTTAAGGAACATAAGCATATTTGGCCAAAACTGAAATTTTCCTGGAAAGGTGTTAATATGATAACCCCATTCACATTGTATGCAAACAAAGAACTCCTTCCATAATAAAAAGGCTTTGCTAAGGCCCATTCCAATTCTTCTTCTTCTGTGTGTGTGTGTGTGTGAGAGAGAGAGAGAGAGAGAGAGAGAGCTGCTAGGACTTAAGGAGAACAAGTGTTGTATGAATGCAAAGGAATTTGCAGTCTCCTAAATTCTCTTAAAGGACTTAATTTAACATAAACAACATAAGTTTTTATTCCAACTTCACTTGGATTATAAGTCAGCAGACATTTTGATCCAACAGGAAAAGATATAGTTACAAAATTTAAAGACAAACAACACTAAGTTAATCCAGATGATGCAACTCTTTCCATAACCACAACGTAATTGTTACCTCCAAGCCGAAGCAACAATCAAGACTTTATCTTCCCACCCGAAATGGAGTGAACCAGTTTCCTCCTTCATCTTGTACCTGTCACAATACTGCTGCTTTATAAGCTTCCGAATCGAATCTTTCACATTTGGACAAAATGGACATGACATGAACCCAGCCATCATCATCCTCGCTCTCCATTTCCCTGCGACTTCATACCTCTCTATTCTTTCCTCTCCCTCGCACGCTACTATGTTGACTATGTCGCGTGCCAGACACTGCTTTTCAACATTCATCCTCTCCTGGCTCTCCCTTGGAAGAGTAGCATCCAGAGACTCAAACACAGCTGAATAGTAATTGTAGGATTCAACAAACCTTGTTAAAAATGGGGTAGTGTTAGTGTTCACTTCTTGTTCAACAACAGTAACAAGTTTCGGTTTCAAGCTCTTGACCATCCGCAGAAGCTGGTCCCGCTGGTTTACTGTTGAAACGCTCTCATCGGGCATGTGGTGAAGTTGGAAAGCAAAGTTCACCACTAATGCTTCCCCGGGCTGGCAGTCCAGCATCGCTGGTGTGACTAATGAAGTCATTGAGGCCACTGCTCGGAACTCGAATGAAACATCAAAGTCTTCAGCCAGTTTCTCAAGTCTTTGGCCAATGATTTTCAGGCCCCCAATGTCACGTTGAACTGATTCAGGATCATCAATGCCAGTTAACCTCAAATGGGGTGGCTTACCAGGCTGAGCGGCAAGTGTTTGTATTAGTGCTATATATTGACTCCCTTGGTTTATATCAAAATCTATTATATGAACTGTCTTTTCACCTTTAAGTGCTTCCAGAATTGCACCATTTGCTGCCATAAATCCGAACCGAAAACATGGGCACACCTCAAAAAGGACCTGCATGGCTGAGAGTCGATCAGAAGACGGGGGCTGTTTGCATTTCAGAGCCTTGTAAAGACCTTTACCAGAGGTAGCCATCCGAGCCGCAAGAGCTTCAACCATATAAGCAGCAATCCTCTGGGGAGGATCTCCTTGGATAGAAACCCTCTGCCGAAGCTCCTTTATCATTACAGATGCTTCCTCAAAGTGACCCTCTGCAATTATGGAAGCACAGTCGAAGAGCAACTGCTTGGGTGTCCGAGAAGTTGTTGATGATATTACTTTATTGCTGCTGATGCTACTAACAATAGAATCCGAGGATGAAGACTCCTTAGGTGAGTCATGGAGCATTACATTATGGACAGGGCCAACCCATTCACCGTCAATGTCCATGCTGCAATCACGACCAAACATGTCATCATCCTGGTTATCATTATCGTTGAGAAGCATCCTCTCCAGTTCTTGTAGCTTCATTCTCATTTTGTCCTCATCATAGTCTATTTCATCTGGACTTAGACATTCTGGCCCAAAATTGGTTTGACAAGGATTAGGATGTCTCATGGACACAAAAGAAGAGTTATATGAATTTTGAGCAGGCATCAGCTGGCAAGAAGAGGGACCTTGTGGCTGGAATTGGTTTAGCCGTACGCTAGAGCTATATGGAGGCATAACTTCTTCTGTAGGGGAGTCAAGCAGGTAGTTTGGATCGTAACTATCACTGCTGTAAGATTCAGTCTCACATGTGATCCTCTGCTCAGAGTTGAACAATGGGGCAGACGAGCTAGAGCTGTTACTGATTCCCTTTAGTGAGTAGAGATTAGAGTTTTTATAAGCTGTGGTAGACAGATCCGTAGATCGTATTAAGGACATGGTTCACTTTTAATGCACTCAGCTTTTGATGAACACTTCGAATACTTAACAACTTGAGCTCTGTGTCACAACTGTCCGTGCGGATTTAGATGTGAAGATACAACCAAATGCTATTAAATGTATAATCTATCAAAGAAAATGTATACGACTTTCCGCTGAAGAAACACTAGAAAAGTATATGGAAAGTACTGACAGTTAAAATATCTTCGAACCTACTGGGATGCCTGTATTCAGCAAAAAGAAAGTGTTGGGAAATGATTGTAAAGAATGCCACAATATAAGAAATTAATATATATTTGAACCGATTTAACAATATATAAAGATACACAGCACACCAGGAGAGACAGAGGGACACACACACACAAAAAGAGCGAGAGAGAATCAGTCCTGACTACAATTGCTCTTAAGCATGACATGTGAGTTATTGTTGCATTTATCATAAATAACAATCTAACTGCATTTTCCTTTTCATTCTTATTTTTTATATCACATCAGTTGCCAAAAAGACATATTTGCCACCTGACACACCCTAAATAGTTTAGAATTTGCAACTTCTAAGCCAACAAAACCAGAACCATCTTCTGTGTTGATCACTGACCATTAAAAATCAATTAGAATGCAGTCAAGACATTGCGTTATTTTTCCAGGGAAACAGGGTAAGACAATTCTCACTGTCTGTACAAGATAATACTGCTTCTCATGCTTCTTTTTTTCCCCGGAAAATTCTTCTCATGCTTTTCAGTACTCTTTCTTTCTACACACAAATGCTTAGCTTAGATATAACCAATAGATTCACATTACAAGTTTTAACAACCCCAGACCACACTGAGTAATTTTGTATCTTAAATGCTTGAATCTTGAAGCATCTCTTCTATTGTAATCTACTTCATGGAAGACATGATGTGGGTCAACATTCAGTAAATTTCCACTTAAAGTAATTATGTGACAACTTAAGTGACATATCAGATGGTTAAACATTAGCAAGATAAAAAGATACAACTTTCAGATCTTTAAGGATTTTAATTGTGGGTTTAAGGTGAAGATTAGTACAGCGAAGGTACTACATGTAATATGATGGGATTTCCAGATGGATTTGTTTAGTTGTAAATCAAGGCTAACTGGAAGGGACGAGAGTTGGCAGTTAGAAGTTTTCATTCTTGTCACCTAAGGGTTGAGTGTGTGGCGAAGGTTAGGCTAAGGATTAAGGACCAATGATGTTGGACTAATTTACGGATTGTTGAGAGTAGCTTTAATGCTACCTTAAAAGCAAATGGAAACCGTATTTGTGTTTCTAAAATGAGCCAAAGACAATGCCCAAGCTAATGTGAGGGAGTAAGTCTGGTCATCACACATCCTTCCCATGGTGCCAATAAGACAATGATGTGAAAAGGTGGCAGGCACAGAGAATGTGCTGCAAGAGTGATCATCATGATCATTTTCCGATATTATAATGATTACAAAACGAGTCATGGTGGTTAACTCACATGGTAAGAACTGTACTTAGGATAGTAAGTGGCTATGTATTATGGCAATGATTTAATGTATTAAGATATATTCAAAATGACAGATCTCTTCAGAGAATCCTATGAAGTAGGATCCAGTGTTGCATGCCTAAGGAGTCAGTGGTTTCTCTATTTGTTGAACTAGGTTGATATATGTGCAACGCCTTGGGACGAGTCTACCTCAACGGGCCCATGAATAAGCTACTGAGCCAAGTACCTCGTATGATCAACTGTAATTAATGACCCCTGTGATGGGTCATGAATCATGATGACTGGCAACAGATCAGGCTCGTACAAGCATCCTGAATCCTGTTTATAGCTAAGCAGTACATGAGATGCATCAGTGTGTTCTCTAGCTAAGTCTTCAACAAGACTTATCCATAGAGATGAGGTCCTCATAATGATCTTCGAGTCTTCAACAATTCCTATCATTAAAGAGGAAGTTCTTGTGATGGTCTTCAACTCTTCAACGGTATATATAGAGGGTATTTTCATGACTGTCTTCTAGTCTTCAAATAGTGGTAGTCTAAGGTTTCAACGAGACTTGTCACAGAGGATATCCTGGCAGCAAGCTTCTCTGCAATGAAGAGGTCCTTACATGTGCGTGCCGACAGAGAAATGCATCTAAGGAGAAGAGGTTTCACAATATGAATGACTGTTTAGAAAATTCTATGGCATTGAATGAACTGTTGTATATTTCATTCAATTTGTGACTTGATTTAGTTTTTATTAGTGAAGTTTGCTTCCAAAATTTTTCTACAACATATTTGAATTGTCATTGCTTTTTCATTATTTTTTCGTTGTTAGGAGATCATAATATGATTAATTAAATAGTGGTTTTAGACTTCATTTGCATAAAATTCTCTAGGAGTTTTCCAGAAGTCCTGTACTAAACCTGGAACTGCATCGGTTACACCATCTCTGACAATCCAAGCCTTTAGATTTAGTTGTTAGCGTTAACTGCCTAAATGTAGACACAGGGAGCCTAATCTGTTCATGAATCTCGAAAATTTAGAATAGTACCGAATCATCTTCTCAACTTCAGTAGATAAATTTGCAGCTGCTTCTCCACCTTTACATTGAATAACTATGGTTGCGTTATATTCCTACTCAGCTAGCTAATTCTGGCAACTCCATGTTATAAGGAACTCAACCTAGAAAGCAAATTACGATAGCAAATCTGCACATAAGACTAACCAAGATGCTTCATGTGAATCATGTGAATGCTTGACCCTATATCCTTTTATCTATATACATACAGCAATACAAGCTAAGGATAAATTGAAGCAATACTACCTTATAACAAAGATCCCCCAATAATAAGCCTCAATCGACGAACCAATCGCTAAAGGGAAAATTGATTATCAACAAAACTGACAAATCAACAATTAAATGAAAATGATATGTTCTAATTGATTTAAACTAAAAACAAGCAGGTGTATTCCCAAATGTTGAAAGCAAAATTTCTGTCATATCACAATTTTAGGATCACAAAAGAAACAATATGAGAGGGAAAATACTAACAATTAGTCAAATTCTGGAGATTTAAAAACACAGAAGCATACAACAAGTGCATATGACATATCCATGGCAAACTATAATAGAAAACATATAGTTTGGGAACATTTAAAAACACACACACACACACACACACACAGAGTTTGGGAACAGAATGAAGAAACAAAGACAGAGAAGGTTTGGGATATAACCTGAAAGAGAAGAAGACACCAAGCTAAGGCATGGAGATCATAACCTGCAATTTAACAGATACCCAAATGGAGATGAACCTCAGAAAATGGGGTTTTGACTATGAACAAAAGAAATCAAAGATAAATCCCGCAAAGCAAACAAACCTTTTTATGGCATCTTTACATATTAAAAAATTGAAGATTGTGAGGTCAGGTTGGTACAATTTACAAAAGCAACAAACAACAACATAACGGAACAAATTAAACAAGTCCAAAGAAGAAGAACCTTTTAAAAAAAAAGGAATTAAGAAGCATATCAAATCAGATAACAAAGAAAGATAAAAAGAAAAAAATTGCATTAAAATATGTAGTGGTTGAGAGAGTTGGAATTAAAAAAATCAAAATTGCAAAGACCCAAGCTAAAGACTATGACAAGTAAATATAATCTTCTGGAATATGAGAAAATTAGTGAGAAAATTACACAAAATTTTCGTGAGAAACTTCTGCTCTGCACTTTTTCCTTCACGCTCTTGTTTGTCTGTATGTCTATACCAACTTTCTCTGACTGGGGTTTTTTACAGCACAATTATGTCAAAGAAAGCATCATATGGGTATATGGGTATGGGCAACTTGTGGGGGAGTCCCCTCTTTGATCAATTAAATCTCGACCGTTCAATCTGTCAATAAATCAATAACTAGTTTACCCCATGGAGGATGTCAAAGTTTTGGCAATAAAACCATATCTTGTCCGTACACAAATCTTGTACTACACTTTACTGTGCATAAATAAAAAAATACGGAGAGTATATATATATATATATTTCCAAAAAAAGGCAAAGCAAACCAAGGGGCCGTATTCTCGGGTTTTGAGATATACGCGGGTGTTTTCCTTATTTGAACTTGTGATCTTGGAATGGGAATGGTGCTACTTGGACTGTGGATTTCATAATCGTTCAAAATTTGCTAGGTTTTTCAAATCAACTTTCATTTTATTCCCATTTATATAACCGGGTAGTTGGGAGTGAAAACTTTTGCCATTTTTACTTGGAGTTATCTTCTTTATTTTTTTAATAAGATTTTAGATATGAAACAAAATAGAATCACCTCGTGTGTGTGTACACTTAATATATTTTAGTAATCATATTATGTAAGGATAATTTCAATAAGTGTATGTACATACTTAACATATTTTAGTAATCATATTATTATGTAAGGATGATTTAATAAATTTATAATATATTTTGGATATTGCAGAGTAGAGCAATCCTCTCTCGAAAATGTCTAATTTTTTGTCTAATTTTTCAAAGCATCCCCATCTTCATTTTCATTTACATAATCGATTCTTCAAAAACGTTCCAAACAAGACTGGACGAGAAGAGGCGGGACTTTTTGCCATTATTATGTGACACCTTGAATTATAATAAAACAATCTTATTATTAAGTCAAAACAGCTCTCTTTACTACCTGCATCGTTTAAGTTTAATTATCATATTTACTTGAACTAAAAATATGAGAGACATACTTTCGAAGATCTTATGAGTGAACAAGTCCGTGCAAGCAGATTCGAGAGTTTTTACTACAAATTACCCGCTTAATAAAAAAAATCTTCATTTTTCTTGAAACTCATCCTAGGTAAAATGGGTAAAAAGTACCCATACGACAGGAAAATGGGTAAAAAGTACCTATACATGACACGTGTACGGCGATGAATGAATGTGTACCAATTTCTGTTGTGGTTGATGACGTTGGATAAGCATGATCACTGCTATCTTGGTAGCATCGAATGACACATTTTGCACAAAGTCAAAAGGTTTGGAGGTCCCCCACCTGGTCGTTGTTATTATATGCCAAGTATATATATATATATATATATATATATCTATCTTAAAAGACACTTGACCTTTTTTCCCAGTAAAATGTACGTGGAATTCTAATTTTCAAAACCGTGTAACGTGTTATCAATGAATAGACCAGTCTAGTCCTAAGAAAGTTTTAAGCAATTCACACTTTAGACGTCGGTTGTGAGTAATGGAAGGGTAATTAAGTCATTTGACAAGTTAGTTGCCTGGTTGGTTAAGAATAATTGGATGCCCATCTCATAATCATGAAAAATGTTATTTCTGGTCTTGTCTTTTTCAACAGGGGAAGGTGATTTTAGTCTGTGAGCTAAATGACGATTTTACCCTTCGTGCAGCTAAAATGTGAAATGAATCTATTTGTCATCCATCATATAAGACAGGGACAAGTTGAAAATTAGGGTTAGCAAAATTTGCGAATCCAGATTTAGCTTCTAACTTCTACCTATAATCCTAATCATCCATGTCCATTGTTTACCTTATCCAAAACAAAAGTTTTTTTTTAATGAAGTCCCTATGTAGCATAAAATATTTATCCAAAAAAAGGTAGTTTGAATCATAAGGTCAATTCAACTAAATAGAAATAACAAAGATACTTAAGAAGAAGAAAGAATTAACCATATACATGTTTTAATTATCCAAAAAAAAAAAAATAAGAATTTAATTTTTTTTTTTCATCCACAAATGAGTTACATATAGTGAAAAATTATAGACTTGTGAAAGAAAAATATATGTGAATTTTATTAATTTTTTTCACCCACAAATGAGTTTATATTTGGTCAACTTATATCTTCAATTCTCTCCCACTACACCAAATGCACCCTTTGATAAGGTGTGCAATGAAATATACTTTGTAAAAGCACAAAAAACAAGATCTCAGGGCAAAAAATGATAAAAGAATAATTAGAATAAAATTTAGTGAAGATGCGCGGTATCCCTAAAAGTTTTTTTTTTTTTAATATGTACAAAAAATTAACTCACTTGTTAGCTAGCCACTCTAGACTCTTGAATGTATATGCATACACCAAATATGTACAATCTCCACAAATAACAATATCATTTAGACTTGAATATTTTTATGTTTTGTGAGAATCAAATCTAGATTGTATAATTTTACGATTCACTTCAAGGGACTCCTTACTTATTAAGCCACCTTGTGCGATTTAGCTAGTATCATATTTTGCTATCAAGATAGTATGAGTTTAGGATTCATTGAGTTCACCTTCTAATAACGAGCAGGTAGTTTGAACCTTTTGAATTTTCTCTCCATAGTAAACTAACGATAGAATGTTGAATAATATAGGTATAATCACTGTATAAGAAGATTTGAAAAGATTGAAAGAAAAATTTAATTCAAACTTTTTTTTTTTTGTATTATTTATCCAAAATAACTAATTTTTTAATACTTGGCAGCCCAAAACTTTTATTTTTGCAAGGAATAATGAATTAATACCATTTTAATATACTAAACTCAAATAAATATAAATATGGAAGAAAATCGTTTAAAAAAATTGAACCAAACAGAGTTTTTGTACACTTTGATGTTTTTAGAGAGTTGTTTTTTATACTTTTCTGAAAGTAATTTTTTGTTTTCTAAGCTCTTGAATTTTTTTTTTTAGAGTTACAAAGTAGGCATGAGTTTTTACAAAGCAGAGTACAATTTTTTGATTTTTAATTTTTTGATTTTTAATTTTTTGAAAATAGAAAACTATTTTATTAATGACAAATCAAGCACAATTTTAAATAATTTTGCAGGTAGCTTTTATTAGTTTGAATTGAGTGATTTGGAAAGAAAAGAAAATAAAATATTCTGAAAATCATGTTTGGGTAGCTTTTAATGAAATAAAAGAAAGGATTGCCAGAGATTTGGATATCCCTCCAAATCCCTCATGTGCGATCCTCCAAAACAAATAAGAAGATTTAAAAGGAAATGATAGTAAGTAAATAGTATTTTATAACTAAATAACTCCAATTTAATTATGCCGGTATATATCTTCGTTTGGGAGACTTTTTTTTAATTAAATCTTCAAATAATTAAAATTAGAAGTTACAATTTTTTACCATGAACGTGCCAAATAGGATTTAATTCCCAACTTAGGTTAGCACTCACACACAATTTTGCCCACGCGTAGGTTTAAACCCTCCCCCTTCTTTTGAGAATAGGGAAGTTACCATTGAGCTACAACTCATGATGTGTCACAATGTTGTTAATTGGTTGGCATAAGTCTAATGATGGATGTGTCACAATATTGTTAATTGGTTGGTATAAATTTACCACACAAACTAACTAAATTAAGTTTTATTTGGATGTATTTGTGTTACCTCTTAAATATATTGACCTGAGTTTTACGTGTGTCATTTTTTCTCATTTTGTTCAACGGGCTAATTAAGTAAATCTTGTGATGTGTCACAATATTGTTTATTGGTTGGCATAAATTGTGATGTTTCCCAACGATCTCTTTCTTGTGAATAAGAACCTTCTTTTATTAAATCTTTAAATAATTAAAATTAAAAACTACAATTTTTTTACCATGAAGAACCCTAATTTACATAATCCCCTTAAAGCTTTTTATAATTTTTTTTGGATTTAGTATTTTTTGATTAAGGTTAAATCAACAAATACAGAGTAATTGAAAACTATAGAGAGTGCACAAGAGAACACAATACATAAAATAAAAAAATAGTAGTAGAGACAAAAAAAAAAAAAAAAAAAAAAAAATAGAGATAAAGACCTAGTATAATTGTTCCATTCGTAGAAAAAGAAAGTGCAATATGTATTGAAATAGAGAACTTTAATGTCTTTTTAGCTATTTGCAAGATGTGTAGCATTGTTCTAAAAATAAACATTCCATAATTGATGATACTATAAGTAATCAAAATTTAATTTAATTTAATTTTAGTTTACTTATAGTCTCGTACAAAAGTTATAAACTATTTTTGTAAGCTATTAAATAATCCCTTTTTGGTTCATATGTAACTTGTTAGATTTATGTTTCTGTTCTTGGTGTTGATGAGAATTTCGGATGCTTGTTAGCAGGAGAAAAAACACAGAGAACAGTGTAATTGAAATTTCGGAAGAGTACTTATCTTGATGTTGATGAATGCTAGAGGAAGTTTTTGTTAAATACACCCTCGTAAATAGTGTTCTAATTAATAGGATAAAGAAGAAACTCATTGTAAAAAATGTTACAAAATTGAATGACAATATAAACACCACCAAGTAGAAGTAGAGAAAATCAATGCACCTTATTATTTTTTATTTTATTTTTAAGACTCCTTTTATGTATGATAGAGAGGAATTTTAAGAAACATGAATCTTAATATATATAAAACTATAAATATTATAAATATTTGAAACTAAAATGACAAATCATCCTTGGAATTAGCAAAAAGAATTGGCAGGTGATATCGGAGAAGCCATGAAGTACAAGATCCCTATATGATCTCTCACTTGTGTTGTATAAACCTAAATTGAAGCCCAACGTCCTCATAAGAATCTCATCATTATTTAACAAATCCAATGGCTTTGCATATAGTGAATTCGGGAATTCCACATGAACTTTAGTCCAAGACTGCTCCACTCTGTATTCCTTCATTACCCAAAATTCATCAATATCCGGTACTTTTACACAAAGACATCCTCCAAATACCCCCATTCCGCATGTTTTATGAACATTGGTGAAGAAACTAGGCAATGGAATTTCTGTGACTTTCTCACCCACCAAATCAAAAGCAGCAATCTTTGATTTCCTATTTGAATTTATATCCAAACAAAACCAATGAAGGGCTCCATTAAGCAGCATCCCACGAGTGGGAAAACAATTGTATTCAACAGAAAAACTGTTTTTAACATAGTCTTGAACTTTTTTCCAAGAACCAGCTCTTAGTGAATATATATAGATGCTCTGTCTACCTAATTTCACCAGTTTATAATCATTAGACAAACTGTCATATCCAAATCCACATATGGAGGAGGATGAGGAAGGGCAAAAAGGACGTAGCTTGCAATATGATATTTGCTTGGACTCCCTTGTATAGAAATTGAATATTACATATGATAGACGGGATGTAAGCCATATGCATGCATAGCAATCCATTGCAACTCCCAATGATTTTGGGACTCTCAATATGATGATCGAGATGAGGCTTGATGCAAAAAATATTATCAATATTTTCTGCCACAATGACTTTACTGTGTGTTGATCCGAGGTCTACAGTGTATAGCCTACTCAGATAGAAATTGACTATGAGTATCCGCTTTGTGATTGATTTTGATTGATGGAGGTGAGTTCTAGTGAAGTAGGAGGCGGAGATCAAAGAAAGCCATGATTTGGAAACACATTTGAATCGTATTAGAGAATTCATAGGCAATTTTAATAATATTTCAACAAGGAGATGGTGTGGAATGTAAGGCATTAATGTTGTAATCTCTTTGGCCTTAAACTCATTGCTTTGTCTGCTTTCTCTGATGCTTTCTTTTTCTTCTCTAAGACTTTCTTCATTGCTTTGTATACTTTCTTCTTTTTCCTCTCTCTTACTTTCTTCTTCTTCTTCTTCTCTGATGCTTTCTTCATTGCTTTGTCTGCTTTCTTCTTTTTCTTCTCTGATACTTTCTTCTTCTTCTCTAAAGCTTTCTCCATTGCTTTGTCTGTTACTTTCTTCTTCTATATCTATATTTATATCTCTCTATACTATTATTATAAGGATAAAGGGTTTCAGTACAAGATAGACAAATCTAATTAAAGAAGGAAAGATATATAAAAAAGGATTTTTAGACAAAATTATTTTTATATTTAGTTTTTTTTTTTTTAATTGTCTAAGTTACCGGGAAAAAAAAATTGTCTAATTTACCAATAAATTCATTCATATATTTACTTGGTGAATTCAATTGCTTTTTAATAATAATAGGTATTTGCTCTTTGCTATTTACCTTAATTTAAATAGTTAGTGATTTTTTAATTGTCTAAATTACCAATTAGTTTTATTGCTTATTTTTTAATTGTTTAATTGTCTAAGTTACCCGAATTTTTTTTTGTCTAAGTTACCAATAAATTCACTTATATGCTTCCGTTTATATAATTAAATATTATATATTAAAATATTTCCTTTTCTAATTAGATTTCTTTTTTTTCTAATTAGGTTATTTGTGATAGAGTTTTATAAAACTTTAAGATTTGAAAATATATTAAATATTAAATATTATATATTAAATTATTATATGTTTTTATATATTTCCTTTATATATTTTCTTTTCTAATTGTTTAATTGTCTAAGTTACCTGAAAAAAAAAACATAGAATATAATTTTAAAAAAATTAATAAAATAAAATCTAATTCGACAATTCAATAAATGAAAATCAAATTAGAAAAGAAAATACAATATATAGATATAGGCAAATCTAATTAAAGAAGGAAGATATATAAAACAAGGAAATTTATATTAAATTATTTTTAAATTTAGTTTTTTTTTATTTATTTTTTTTATAATTGTCTAAGTTATCCGAAATTTTTTTTGTCTAATTTACCAATAAATTCACTTATATGTTTCCTTTGTGAATTCAATTGATTTTTAATAATAATAGGTAATTGCTCTTTACATTATTTATCTTAAATTGAATAGGTAAGTATTTTTTAATTATTTAATTGGCTAAGTTACCAATTAGTTTTATTGCTTATTTTTTTTAATTATATATAGAATATAATATTAGAAAATTTCAATAAAAGAAAATCTAATTAGAGAAGGAAATATAATATATAGATATAGAAAAATCTAATTAAAGAAGGAAAGATATATAAAAAAGGAAATCTATACAAAATTATTTTTATATTTAGTTTTTATTTTTATTTTATTTTTATTATTATTATTTTTTATAATTGTCTAAGTTATCCGAAATTTTTTTGTCTAATCTAATAAATTCATTTATATGTTTCCTTTGTGAATTCAATTGTTTTTTAATAATAATAGGTAATTGCTCATTACATTATTTACCTTAATTTAAGTAGGTTATTGTTTTTTAATTGTCTAAGTTACCAATTAGTTTTATTGTTTATTTTTTAATTATTTAATTGTCTAAGTTACCCGAAAACCAAAAATTGTCTAAATTACCAATAAATTCACTTATATGTTTCCTTTGTGAATTCAATTGCTTTTTAATAAGAGGAGTGGTAATTATACTCGTGCTCTTAACTTCTACAATCGTACTTCTTATTGGTCATAATTAGGGATGGCAATGGGGCAGGGTGGGGCGGGGATCTCATTCCACAAGGACTATATTTTTTTTCTATACTGCGAGGAAATGGATCTACGGTTTCACTTTCAGAAGTGAATATATTATATATATAGTTATGTAATTTATTAATATTTTATAACATGTAAGGACAATTTTGAAAAAATACACTATAAACGGGGTGTGGGGGGGCGGGGTTACCTTCCTCCCGCCCCCGCCCCCGCCCTAGCCCCATTCCCATCTCCATCCCCCGTCGGGTTTCAAATACAATCTCCATCCCCTCCCTATTTACATAAATGGGTCCCCAAACCCACCATAAACAGGGCGGGGACCCACCGGGTATGGGGATTTTGCCATCCCTAGTCATAATTCTATAATTGCACGTTCTTTTATGAGATGTCTCCTGCCTTTAAGGAAATTAAAAATATAAATTTTTAAGAAAAAATTACTCTAACATTTTCTTATCTCTCTCCTTTTATTTCTTCTCTTCAATTTTATCCCTTTTATCAATAACATTCTAGATTGCCAAAAAAAAAAAATATATATATATATATATATATATATAGGAATATATTATTTTCAGTCTTTTTGGATTGCCAAAACAAATAGTATTATGTGAATGGATTATTTTATTTTTTATTTTAATTATATTTTAACTATATATATATGGATTCACATTCAATTCCTATAATCACAATTCATATAGTTAGTTAGTTTGTTTGTTTTGTTTGTTTTTTTTTTTTTTTTTTTTTTCCTTCATTGATGTGCATGTATATATATATATAATATGTAATATGTAAATAACTACCTTCATATATGTATAAGTTTTTTATTTCTATTTTTTTCTCTCCTCACTTAATCAGTGTACATGTGTGTGTGTGTATATATATATATATATATTTCATGTCAATAACAATTGATATATATATATATATATCACTTGCTATCAATATATAACACGTATATATATATAGTTAAAATATAATTTAAAAAAAGCAAAGAAAATTATCAATTTTCATAATGTTACTCGTTTTGGCAAATCTAAAAACAAAGAAAATAATATGATTGAATTGTGATTATAGGAATTGAACATGAATCCATATATAACACACGCACACATATATATATACATGAAGGTTCTCATGCGGTCCAAAACAACATACTTTTCAACGGACCAAAACTTAATTAGTCAATTACACTTTATTACTTTATCTATAACACAGGTCAGATTAGTTACCAATTCAAGACGATTTTTTATAATTTTGATATCGACACATGAATAGATTTTTACAGCATCTGCCATTTTCTAGACAACAATGTATTCTGGATCTAAATATATATTTAATAAGAGCCCTTCTTCATCCCATTTCTTTTGTTTTCCCCACAACAAGGTTGTACTTGGGAAACATAATCACGAAACTCAAATAGTATGGAACCTGTTCAACTTTTGCTTTATTATTATTATTATTTTTATTAATCTTTTGTAAATAATCAAAAGCTTTACTTTACCCTCCCATTAATTTTATAATTACACTATAACATTTCATAAAATCACTTATTTATTTTAAATGTAGAAAAAATAATATTTTTAATCTATATTAATTTTCAAATATTTTTAATCTATATTAATTTTCAAATTTATATATTTTTTGTTTTTTAATTCTCATATGTTGAAGAATGAATATGGTAGTTGTATTGTGGCTGTAGTAGTGAAGATGGTGGCTGTGATTGTGTGGATATGGCGATAGTAGTTGAGATTGCAAGGAAGACGGAAGAAATTAAGGAAGAGAGAGATTGAATAAAGTTATTGGTTATTAAAGTTAACATTATTAAATATGGTTAAGTCTAATAAAATAATAAAGTGTAATTGACCCTCGTTGTTTTGGACCGTATGAGAGTCTTCCCATATTATATATATACATATATATAGTTAAAATATAATTAAAAAAAGTAAATAAAATAATCCATTCCCATAATATTATTTGTTTTGGTAATCCAAAAAGAAAAAAAATATATATATTTCTGTATTATTATTATTATTTTTTGTTTTGGTAATGATATAAGGATAAAACTCAAGAGAGGAGAATAAAAGGAGGGATAAGAAAAGGTTAAAGGGTAATTTTGTTTTAAAAATTTATATTTATATTTTTTTTAAGTAGGAGAAATCTCATAAATGAACCAATAATTATAGGAATTGTGACCAATTAAAAGCGCGATTGTGGAAGGATTGTCGTGAGTGCCACTGCAATTAACACTCTTCTTTTAATAATAATAGGTAATGGCTCTTTACATTATTTACCTTTTGTTTACCTGATAAATTTAACCAATTCTTTTTACAATTCAATTGCTATTTAATTGTTTTGATAGCCATATACGTTATTTCTTTTCTTTTAGTGCCTCTTCAAGTAACTTATTCTTCCTTCTCTCTTCACACACGCATCTCCTCCCATATAAGACATATACGTTATTTCTTCCTTCTCTCCCCTTATCGACATCTGAATTATTTATTTATTTTTGTTTAGGTTACCAATTAGATATATTGCTTATTTTTATAATTGCTCTTTACATTATTTTTATAAATAAATTATTTAATTCACTTATATGTTTCCTTTGTGGATGCAATTGCTTTTAATAATAAATTTACCTTTTGTTTACCTAATAAATTTAACTAATTTATTTTTCTATAGAATACTATGTCCAGAAAAGAAAAATTGAAAAAAAAAAAATTACTCTAAAAAAATATATGTAATATGAAAAAAAAAATTCACTAGGAGGCATTGCACATGCCTTTTCTATGTATTGAATCTGGTCACTGTTAATGTTTTATGTATGTTATTTAAGTTCGTATTTAACATTATTGAGTTATGTTTTGGCTCTTTCATGGTTGTGTTATTTATTTATTTTTATTGTTAATCTCAATTAAAATTTGAAATATTGATGCAAGATTAAATTTATACAGTAATAGTTGAATTGATTCAAATTTATTTTATTTTATTTTATTTTTTATTATTATTTTTTTCATGATATTTGGTTAGAAAAATAACTATTCTAAGTTTTGTGCTATTTTGCAACTTAATTTTTCTTTTTTCTTTTTTCTTTTTTTTTTTTTTTGGGGGGGGAATTTTTTTACTAGTTTAACATATTTATTTTTGTAGACCAGATATATAGTTGAGAAGGTTGTGATAAATAAAATTTGGTTTAATGATATGCTATTATTACTTTGATAGTTGGATGGCAAACACATATAGTGACTTTTCTTAAAATATAATATATATATATATAATAAAACAAAAAATTGTAACGAACAGATTTTTTTTTTTGGTATTCAACAATCAAAATAACTTAAATAATTTATGTTTAAAAATATTTGGGTTGTCCAATTGTGTGTGAGTTCACTTACCTATTTAACATTCAACCCATTTATGACTCGTTATAAATGAGTTTTGACTCTTCGTTGGTTTGTTCATTCATGACTAGCTCAAAATTCGTCCAAACTCACCTGATTGTCACCCTTAATTTTCAGAATCCGAACTTGAATCACTACTTACTGGCCCGAGTTGGTTGATGTCGGATTGGGCCTGCCCAACACCCCTAATTTCAATACAGCAATATGTAGGTAGGAACCGTAACGTAAGATAGCATGCGGTTTTGAGCAAATGAAAAATTCTTCTTATACTGGATTGATATGAATTTGAGTCTTGAAATTACCAATCAGTCATTCTGAGACACTTGTTGTTCCTGGCGAAGGTTTCTATCCAAGTTTTTTTTGTTTTGTTTTGTTTTTTATTTGACATCTGAAGTCCACATAAAAAGGCGTGCATGTGTACAGAGATATATATCTAGGTTATGACCCACCCAAGAAATTGAACTATGGGTAGTTCACACCATAATCTGACATAGAATTTGTTGGGCCCAAGGAAAGTTCATGGATGAGGAGATTCATTATAATCACCTAGATACGTTACAATCTCGTAACCTATTCTACCCATTGTACTTGTAGCCTCATGAGATTGCCTTTATGAGTCCATTTATATTTGTCAACAATATTTTAAGTGTCTATTGATATGGCTTTGAGTATTGAAATTACCTATTTTTAAGGACGGATTCAGGGATGGACTTTTAACTCACCCCATTCATAATTTTTGAATCCATCCTTGCCTATATGTCATTTTGAGACTCATATTGGCCAATTGGCGAAGGTTTCTATACAAGTTTTTTTTTTGGTGACATCTGAAGTCCAGATATGAAGGCATGCATGTGTTTAGAGATATATATCTACGTTATGGTCCACTCAAGAAATTGAATTATGGGTAGCTCACACCATAATCGGACATGGAATTTGTGTCTATGGATAAGGAAATTCATTATAATCATATAGAGATATTACAAACTCATAACTCCCTTTATTCATTGTACTCACACTTTGGCGAGATTGTCTTTATGGATTACACGTCTCTCCACTCATACCTCTCAACAATACCCTAGGTATCATTTATAAAGTTTTATACTCAATTTCCCAGAGGACAAAGATAAGAATTTCTTAAAATCCGAAACATGTCTTTAATTACAAGAAATTAACATAATAAAATAACTCTAAACATGTCTTTTATTGCAAGAAATTAACATAATAACATGAAGTATAAATAATGCATGAACAAATGTGCAGAGTTTTACTTATCAATATTTATTCTAATTGAAATGACCAACCATACTCTGTTCCTTCATTTATTGTTGATGTTGCATCTTCTTCACTGAGACGGCCATATTTGGTAATACGAGGCTCTCCACAAAGACTTCTGCGTCAATGTTATGGCGGACACATGAAAATGGTTTTCTCATATGAACTTCAGTCAAGATTGATCCACTCCATTTTCCTTCATCATCCAAATTTCATCACTAGCTATCTGGTGATATTATACGAAGCCATATTCCTCCAAACACCGCTATATGACATTCATCAGAATTGGTTGAGAAAGTAGGCAAAGGAATCTCCTGACAGTTTCTCATTCACCATATCAAAAACAACAATCTTTGATTACCTCCGTCATGCACCTTGTGTGGCTGTTTTGGACATTGTGCAACTCATTTACGTCCATGTCCATGTCCATGTCCATGTCTATAATTTAAAAATAACTATTATTATTTGAGATACTTGATTGACGCATCTTTAACACATTATCCACACATTTTAGATACTCAATCAACACGTCTTATACTATTCGTCTTATATAAACAAGAATACGAACATACATTAAAGTGTCTAACATTTTTTCATAATGAACAAAAACATGTTCTAATAATAGAAGGGTAATTCACATTCAAATAGTTTCATCTTTTAACTTATGTAATTTTATTATAAAAATTATAATTTAATTGTTACTCAATGTTTATATAAATTAATATTTATATTTATATTAATCGTGTCACGCTACCTTAGCGTTAGAGCTTCCAAGACATGTTTTGCATCTACAGCGAATGCATTAGAAAGTCATTGGAAATCAACGTCCTGAAAAATTGAAAGTCATTAAAAAAGTACATTAGAACATTATATTACCACTTTTCAGTTTTCTTCACCATTTTTTATTGATTTTCCTTATTCTCGTCTTTATAATTGAGATGTCTCTCTGCTTCTTATATGGCGAGCGAAGAACTGTAATAGACCTATTCACCTTGAATTTGCAAAGTAGGTTAATTACACAAGTAATTGATTTCAAATATTTTTTTTTCTTCAATACAATGGGAATGTTATTGTCTAAGATTCAATCCTGCCCCAATTTGATCACTTCAGGCTAAGAGACGTTTCAAAATGGGATCCAAATCCCATTCGAGTATTAATTTCAAGATTACAGTATTATCATTGTTTAGTTCAATTGGGATGATTACTCTAAGGGGCGATGGCAAAAATGATACCACAATACAACAACAATGTCAAAAAAAAGTTCACTAGAAGAGAAATGGAGTTCTAAATAACCATTTGAAATTCTTAAAAGATTATCAAGATTTTAAGTGTTAGAAGTTAGATTAGTATGCAAAGAGACGAAACCGGACATTTCAAAATTCACCGAAGGTACTAATTCACTGGACTATATAGGCATTCGCAAAGATTATCATGAGTTTGTTTTCTAAAATCTTTTTATTTTTTAAAAGTAGATAATTAATGCTGATTATATATGTGTGTATATTTATTGTAAACCAAATATAATCCTTGGATTCACATAATCTCGGGCGAGTCACGAGACTTGATGTAAAAAAAAACATAGTATCAAGCTTCTTTGCTACAATGCCCTTATGTGCAGATCCGAGGTCTGCGGTGTAGAGACGCTGAGGCCGACACCTAGTATTGACCGTGATTGTGTTTTGATGTTGGAATTTGTGATTGTGGTAAGATTTTAAAGAATTGGGGTTTCGATATTAGAGAGAGCCATGAAATGGAAATGCACCGTAATTACAACAGAGACTTGACCGGCATTCTTTTATTTGCCATGGCTGTTATTGTTTAGGGTTTGGGTTGGGCTTTTGCCCCGGGTTGTGTCCCTCAATTGGGCTTGTTTCCTTTTTCAGGATTGTCTGGCCTTTGGCCCACAAATGTACACTATTTATAATTTTATACAGTTGCTTAAAATTCCCAAAAAACAAATCCATCGGTTTAATCCATGAGCCGGCCAAGTTGCTATGAGTATGAGCCCAAATCCTAAGCAAACTTTCCAGAGTTATTGTGATATATGATTCTTATGCTGAATATGGCTGGGCTGGGCTATGCTGGGCTGTGCTTGGTTGGGCTTGTAGACGCAACCATATGGACACCCACAAATCCATACTGAAAGACTGCAAGTTGGATCATAGATGTTCAATAAAATAAATTTGGATAAGAAAAATATATTAATATATTGTATTTATACTTCACAAAATTTATCAATTTTTAATTAAATTCATATTTAATGTCTAATAAATATATATATTCAATTTCTTCCAATGTTAAAGTAATTCTTGCACCATTTAATCCAGATTTTGTCACTGTTATCAGTCAATAGGTAAAAAATGTACCTCACTACAGCTCTGTTGGAGTGATTTGCTAAAACTTTGAAGGAGGTGAGATTAATTTATCAAATAATTTAAAAGAAAAGTGGTGTTTGGTGAGGGCAGTTATAAAAGTCATTTTACATCAGGAAGTATTTTACTCACATAAAATTATTTCTCTAATCTTATAAAGTTAGGCCAGGAAATTTTATAAATTTTATTTATTTATAAAGTTAGTCCTAAAATTACTTACCAAGTTGGTGTGTTAGTATTGCATAATGCTCTAGGTGAAAGTTTTTTTTTAACAAAAGTATGACAATGTTTGGTAGCGTTATATTTGTAATAAGATTAGTCCTAAAATTACTTTTAGGAAGTTGGCATTGCCTATGCTCTAGTGAACTTTTTTTTAAATAGAAATAACATTTTTGTTTTAACTTTAAAACTTCATAAGAATGTTTAGTAGGGTTATATTTGTTACAAATTTTTTGGAAGCGAATTGAAAAACAAAATGACTAGTTAAGAAGTCATTTAAGAATGTTTTTTTTTGGGTACAGTTTATTATTTGAAAAATAAAATGACCAGTTAAAAGGCCATCTAAGAGTGTTTTTTTTTTTTTTTTTTTTTGAATACAGTTTATTGCTATAGTGCTTTTGTCACCGTGCAGAAGTAACAACACAGAACAACAATTCGGTGCTTTCAATTCTAGTATTTATTTTTATTTTTAAAGCACACTAAAAATTGCCCACCATGCTTTCGTGTTTTATTTTGTTAAAAAAAAAGGAAAAAAAAAAGCAGTTATTGCCAAACAGTAATTGGAAGCCGAAAATAATATTTTAAATACAAAAGCCACTTTCATATTGAATTTTGAGTGGAAAATGGACCTTTTTTTATTTTTTATTTTTTTATAATTAAGTTACATCATGATTTAGAACTCCAGTTTCCAAGATGCAAGGTTTTTTTTATTTTTATTTATTTTTATCTTATTTTATTTTATTTTATTTTATCTGATTAGCAATTTCTTTTCCTACTATTATTAGGAAATTTGATTGTCAAAAAGCTTATAAAAATATTTTACTTTTCTTCCCTTTCCAAAATCGGAGCCCTTGAAAGCTGCCCCTTTCTTGGAAAAAAAAAATGTCATCCATCGGAGAAGCCAAATTGTAGCTCATTCGGAGTCCAAATTGTAGTTCCAAACCCAAGGCAGCACATGTCTCTTCTCTTCTCATCCATCGGAGTCCAAATTGTAGCTCATTCGGAGAAGCCAAAGTCAACCCGAGATTCTCTCCAGTTCGGCTTAAATTCAGGTAAATCATAATTTCCATCTATTTTAAATCCAATTTTACTCTGATATGATTATTTTTTCGTTTTTAATTTTGTATCATTTTGTTTTGGGTTTTGTGGTGTAATTTCTGTTTGTTGATGAACTGGGTATGCAATTTATGGTTAAAAATATGTTTCTTTAGGGTAATTTTCCTTCTTCTTTTGCACACCTGCGAGATTAGAGTTATGTTGTGTTTTGGTTTTGGTAAGAGTTGAGAATTTTCAATTTATGTTGTATTTGGAAGACCTTGAATTTGGAATCGGAGGAAATTTATTACAATTATTTTATTTTTTAGTTTTTTATTCAGAATTTTTCAGTCTGTCACATAACTTAATTTTGTGTGTTTGATTTTATTTTCTTTTTCTTTGTTTATTGATCACCTTTTGTATATGGAAAATAATTCCCAAACCTATTTATGTATCCTAGTGATGTATTAGATAGAAACCCCTTCTGTTACACTCTTCACCACCTAGACAAATAGTAGACATATATAAATAGCATTACTCTTTGTATATTGCAGCATCTCTCCTTAATTTCCAGGAGAATGAACCAGTGCAGCAGAAGCAGCTGCTCTAGCAGTGTGGATGTTGTGTCACACTGTGATGACCTTGTAACCGAGATTTTGCTTCGATTGCCTCTACACTCCGTCTTCAAGTTCAAGTGTGTATCGAAGACGTGGAACTGTTTGATCTCCGATCCTATTTTCTGCAGCAATTACCAGTCCCAAAGAAAGAATTCTCTTCTCCCATTGTTGGGATTCTTTCGGGTTACTAGAGATCAGAGATTTCAAATACATCGTTTTGTAACCCCGTCACAAACCAATGATTTTCTCTTCCTAAACCGAACTATGGATATATTCCATCCTCAGTGTGTTTCTCTTGTGAAGAATGCACCAGAGATGGTGATGGTGATGGTGTGGTGCATTTCAAAGTGATGCTAACTCTCCACCACGAGGAGCGAGACACACGACACATTACGCGTTGAGACTTTCTCTTCTCGTACTGGCGAATGGAGAGAATCATTTCTCACTTCTCCATCTGAATTTTCACCTGAGCATCGGTTTGGATGTGAATCACTATCGGTAGGTGGGATCTTCTACCGGGAAGTTAGTGGTCATTTCGCCGCTTATGATCCTGACATGGGGGGAAATCGTCTCTGGCTGATAAGGTTGCCTCCTGGTGCCTGCAAGACACAGGTATGTTGTATGAATTATGTATTGGGACAGTCACCGGAGGGTTGTCTCCGGTTTGCCATAAATGACAAGCATCAATTCAGAGTGCGGGATCTCAAAAAGAAGCTTTCTAGTCGTGAATATCTTGAAGGAAGTTGTGAATATCTTGAACCAAGATAATACCACACTATACCAAGTCGTGAATTTCTTGAAGGAAGTGAGTTACAAGATGTTGAACTTTTGTCGTCCTAACAAATTCTATCCTCGTTTGAAAGCGTTTCACTTTCACAATTCAAAACTTGTGCTTCTTCAGTGGGGAAGCATGATGTTTTGCTATGAATTTGAGACTAGAAGATTGGAACGAATTCAGTATCGTGGAACTCTCTTGCCATCCGTTAACAGTAATTCCTTACTTTGTGGTGCCCTTCTTTGCCTCCTTTACATTAGTTTAGACTCTTCTTAGGCTTATCATAATATACATTTTGAGATTATACGGTATTCTATGATTCAAATACCGTATAATTTTGAGATTCCAATTTATATTACCTTATTTTATCTTTCTTTTTGATGTGCATTGTTTCCGGTTGGTAAAAATGTATAAAATGCTTCCCGGAGAGGAAATGCTCTCCGAGGAAGCTAATACTAGTAGGCTGGGTTTGCAGAGGGGTAAGCTGCTTGTATAAGCAAATGAGCCCCTCTAAAGAAAATAAGGGAAAATAGATTTTAGTGATCAAACTTAAATAAAAAAAATTGCTAAAAAGTGACTCAAATTGTTGCGGTAGTGGGGTTGGGAAAGGTGACGGCGGTGGCATACATAGGGGTGGTGGTGGTGGCATAACTGTCTGAAGTACTCTGACTCTATGGAGCATCTTTTCTTTGATTATAATCTTGCCCAAGAGACTTGGTTATGGTTTGTGGATTGGCATAATGTGCATTGGTTCATTTCTCAATCAAGCTCTAAGGCTAGTAGTGGCAAGATGTTGAGACCGATGTTTACATGGCAATTGTTTGGAAACACCAGATCAAAAAAATACTTCTAAATTTAAACTAATTTTCGCCAATTTTGATTTCAAACTGCAATTCGGTAGTTCCTTAAAAGCAATTATAACTCTATCAACTAAAACCAAATCTTTTTTAAAAATTATTTGGATTGCTTGATAATATATTTATAAGGAAAATTAGTATTTTAAATATAAAATAGACTTTATATAAAACACTATAACTTGGGAAAAAGAAGGGTTAAGTGCGGAAAACACCCTTAAAGAGTATTTTAAAGGATTATGTGCCAAAAATACCCTTAAAGTATACACAACACAATACTTTTACCCGTATTTTAAAAACTATGCTATTATTTTCTCTACTCTTTTCTCCTTTAAAATGTACAAAAATATCCCTCGAATAATTTTTTGCAGGTCTTAGACATAAAATAATGCTTTAATTTCTGTTTTATTCTTTTAACTTTTCGAAAATACTCAAGGGGTGTGTATTATATATATTCTTATACTAGAAAGGTGTTATGTGGCTATGTGCACATTTACATTTATGTAGAAGATTTTTCGATATAGATTTGTAAGGGTTGCTGAGACGTATTGTTTGGATTTTTTAGAGTTCTAGTAAATTGAAGAGTAAATTAGAATTGGAATGTAAATTTTTGGATAACATGTATATGTAAATGGCTTCTGAGAGAATGATCATGTAAGGAAAATAATGTGTATAGAATTAAAGCATGTGCAAATGGATAGAGTCCTCTCACCGATTGAATGATGAGTTTGTCTGACAAGGTAAGCAACTGTCTCCTTGCGTGATCGTTCCATACAAGATTTGAATATGTTTCTACCTACTATATTGCATATATTAACGGATGTGTACCCCACATAATGTATTGAAAATGTTGGATTTCTTTCTTACCTTATATAAGAGGTTGGATTCATTCGTTATATGTATGTGGTTGTATGTGATTTTTACATATGAGGTTTGAATATTTTTCTACCTACTATGGAGTATATTGTATGAATTAACGGATGTGTATACCACATAATTAATGTGTTGAAAATGTTGGATTTGTTCCTTATCTTATATAAAAGGTTGGATTAGTTACTTACCTTTGTATATGTGGTTGTATGTAATTTTTACATATGAGGTTTGATGTGTTCTTTACTTGAGTTGGATTTTGATCCATTAAATAAGCGGTTAAAGTGAGACTTAATTATTTAAATTCATTATTTTGTTAATCAAGTAGATATATTATTTAGTATTTACCTTTATATACCGAAGTGAATTAAGGTTATTACTTGCTCAGCAGGGATCTTGCTGACGACAAACCAGAACAAGTGAGTTGTTATTTATTTATTTATATTATTTTATAAAAGATTTTGTATTAAGAACTCGAAAGATTTAGTACTAAGAACTCGATGTAATTTCATGTTGAATTGATGCTTGGATATTATATGAAGAAGTGATTTATAGGATTACACCCATGTTTGAGTAGGATTATGAAACATACTTGTATTTAAATTTTGGGTGTGACAAAATGGTATTGGAGCATAGGTAATAAATTCTTTCTTTGCATCAAAGTTTAAGTTGGCAGCTTTGACGGAAAAGTATGAGGAATTTAGATTTTGTAGGTACGTTTTAATGTGATCAGAGTGTACAGTGAAAGCATAGTACATGAGTGCAATGCCCTATTAGCACGCACTTGGAGTGGATATGATATTCTAAAGTATGAGAGAATCTTTGGATGCTATATAGAGCATTAGTCCCATATAATTATCTTGGATAGTTTGTTTTAAGCTTTTAGAGATGTAATCTTGACCTTACATGAGATTGAATTTTGGCTATCCATTCCGCGAGAGTATGCCTACAAATAAGTTCATAATTTTCGCCTATATGTGCCGATCTTTCAACCGAACTTGGTGTCATTACTGCATTAGTTGATGAAGTAGATGTGTTTGAGTAACCAACATGCTCACTATCATTAATTTGGATTCCACTCCTCTTCTTTGGTTGTTGTTTCTTTTTGTTTTTCCATTGCTCATCGGCACAATGTAAATGTGCCATTTACTGTTGTGCTTCAAAATGTTTCAACAACTATCAAACTTAAATTGAGTGCGAGCTTGACTAGCAAACAGTTCTTTAGCTACTATCATCTGAAAAAAAAAAAAATTCAATAATATAGAAGGCAAATATTTAAAATAATTGTGAATTAAATTTAATGTCGTAAAGAACTTACCTTATACTCATTGTCTTACCCACTGGTCGGATTCCTTTTGATTTGGGCCATACATCCAGAAAATTTAATAATTCTTTGTTACATGAAGGACCAACGATTCAAACAGATGTTACTATTTCTTTTTGTTGTATGAGCGCCACTAATATGTTGCCCAAAACTTTAATGGATTTGGATCCATAACACTGCATTTTGTTGGTTTAAACTGATTACTGCATCAGATCCAATGGTCACTCATGCATAACATAAAGTCTCATCTTCGGCCATGGACCAATTGGAAGACCGGCCAACCCTTTGCTTTCTAGAAGGTTTGGAGTTACTGGATTGTGACACTTTAGTAGGAATTTTGAAAAATTGGGATGCTTGGTGAGATGTAAATTGAGATTCTTCTCAAAGAAATTGTAAGAAGGGTTCAAAATAATCATTTGATTGGTTTAGATGGGAGTCGTAGTTGTAATATAGTGGTGGAGGACTCATGGAATTCAACTTGAGTATTAAAAATATAACTAGAAGATTGAGAAAATGACTTGGAGATTGTAGATGTAGGTTGAAAGAGTAGAGAATATAGATGGGTTGGATGTGAGGTGAATTATGGTAGGGGTTGATGTATTTATAGAGAAAAACAAAAAAAAAAAATTTTTACAAAATGATAATGAAAAATATTTTTGGGCCAATATAGTCGTTAATGCACTATTTGGGTCACATGCCTTAAGGCTATCTCTAATGCTAAAAGCTATTTTCGCATGCCAAATTTATATTTTAATAAGTGCTACAGTATCAAAATGTTACATTTTAGCAATTCTGCTCCAATGGTGCATTTCATGCAAAATGCTATTTTTTGACACAACCACCATTCTTTTTCAATTACCATTCCCACCATTCATATTTGCATCAATAATATTAATATTAGGCACATTCCAAGTCAAAGTTGTAGATATTAGAAGAAAACTAAAATTAAACCTAATTAAAAAGAAGCAAAAATCTAAAATATCTGGTCAAAAAAAATAAAATAAATAAATATATATATATATATATATATATATATATATATATATATATATATAATTTTTTTACCACTATTTGTGAATTAATTTTTTTATATAATTTTTTTTTCTTTTTCAGAATTTATATATATTATATATAAATGTATATTATATATATTTGATTATATTATTATTAAATATATATATATATTTTTAGGGCAAATCATTTCAGCCTCCCCAATCGCTCCATCTCTATTCTCATTCTCAACTCTGAGACCCCCCCCCCCCCCCCCCCCCCCCCCCCGGCAACTTCAAACTACAAAATCTATAAGAATCAGAAGTTCAAAACCCTTATATTTCAGTTTATCTATCTGTCTGCAAGAATCCA